TTAACAACATTTAAAATTCTAGCTGTCAGGGGCCCAAGAGTCATGYGTTTTGCTTTCCACCTGCAGTGCAATTGTTGGAAGTGAATTCCCATGGTATCCTCCTATRCTGAACACCCCACCCTGGGGACCGGCAGAGATTCCTGCCTGGCATCAAACACATTCCCTCTAACCCAGAAAAGCCTTGCCTGGTCAGCTCCTGGAGCTCCACCATTTGTCCTGTGTGACCTGATTACAGCTTTGATCGATGGCCAGAGCAGCCATCTGCAAAGCACTCAAGGCTTCAGCAAAAGGCTGCTTGGATTTCTTTGCAGTGCCTTAAAAGTCCTCCTAAAGTCACCTTGAGCACGGAGATGACTTCTGTTTCTCTTGCTGATGAGCTTTCACACAGGATCTGATTAGAGAGTGTTTGGTACTGGGCTGCACTGCCACTGGGAGGAATGAAACCCTTTTGACTGTTTCTGGCTTTTTCCAGATTCTCTTACTGAATGGAAGTTTTTAACTTAGTGCGCTTCTCTGGTAGTTTTGTCATGAAATAGAAAAAAAACCCTATTGATTTCTGCTCCAAACACCCCAGGCTTTTACATAAATGAAATATCCTGAAAACAATTATTTCCCATTCAGCAGCRAAGCAGTCCCCCTGCCTGTCTGTGCAGGCTTTTCCCTGGTCACTCCAACCATGTGGGGAGCTCCCTGTCTGCTGAGKTTTCCCACTGCAGGGCTTTGATGTGCTGCTTTAATGCCACATCTTTAATGCACTGTGCAAAGTGTTTCTGAGGAGAAACTCAGGGCATGCTGCTGTGGAACAAACACGAAAAGAAATGGGGGGAAAAAAAAAACTCTGTCACAAGGCTGGCAGATTCTGAATTTTACCTCAGTATAACAAATGCAGCTAGGCCAAACACATTATGAAACAAGATAAGAAGGAATTGAAGCAAATTTTTACCTTTATGTGTCACTGCATAATTGAAATGGACAAAGGTCCAGATGTACCACATGGATCTTGAATAATTGCATTTAAAAATATTCAAAAGGATCACAGCAATTTCCGTTATGCTAGAGAATGTGAAATATGGCATTTTATTAGTTAGTTTTTAGGAATATGAAGTATTCATCAAACTCCCCTGTACTTCTTAAGCTCCCACTAGTCTTATGGCTGATTAGCCGAGACATTCCTTTCAACAGTTACAATTCCAGAGAGGCAGGAAAGAGCAGAGAAACAAAATTGTTCTCGAGAATCATCAGAAACTCAGCAACGCAAACTGCAGTGGCAGAGGAGGGGTGCAGAACAGAGAGGTATTTACTGAGTCAAGTCAATATGCAGCTAAAAAAGAAAAAAAGCTCTCTGCTGCCTGCAAGTTGGGAAACTGAAAGATGAATACATAGGAAAATTGATTTCCCTCTGGTATTATACCCCTGCTGTTCAGAATGTTGGAGAATAATAAAAGAAAGGGAGAAGGAGAATAGCTCAGAGTAGACCCCTTGGACAGGGTGACACACAGGTTCAGAAACAAGGCAGAAAAGCAGAACATTCACCAAGATTCTGCCTTTAAAGACCTCAGAGTGCAACTGGCTATTTATGGAAAAAATGGGATTTCATTTCTCAAAACTGATATTTTTTGAACTAATGGGGAATAGTCTTCTCTTACACTTTCAGCATCTCATCTCACTAAGAATGTTCTAGACTGACACAGGAAAAATGCTCCCTTGTATGTTACTAGATCACCCCTCTGAGTCATGTTTTATATTTTATATACAACCATTTTCCACCAGAAATTCTAATTTGCAAATTAATCTAGGTTTACACAAATCTAAGTTAGCAAAAGCTTTATATTGGCAGCAAATTTCAGTAAACATGATGACATGAAAAAGAAAGTAGCCCAGGCATTTAAGAAGGCATTAAACGATGGCATCAGCAAGAGGATGAGGGGAGGAAAGGAAGGAGGGAGAAGAAAAAGAATGGAAGGACTTTAGAGACATAAACATGTATTGAAATGGGATGAAAATCTATCACAACTCAAATAACCTGACAGGACAATAACTGCTTTTTTAAACAAGGTATATCTGAACTGGGTTTCATGGAAGTATTTGGTGTAAGACAATTAGTGAAGATATGTAAAAGGTGTGTAGGAAATTGTACTGSACTGAAAGGTTGTGCTCAGTGCAGAGAATGACTGTGAGCAAAGCTCTTCGTCCTGGACATTAATATTCTTTGGTATTTGCATGTTAATGAAATTTCTAATGAAACAAAATCCATAGGCATTGTYAGCACTGAGGAGGAACAGAAAAAACACAACAAGCACTGGATAACCTTGAGGACTGTAGCAATATTAAGAACATTGA